GTTGTGCAAAGAGGCTCTGCCCCTTCTCTCCCTCAAAACCGTAGCAGTTTGAGAGGATAAATTCATCAAAAAGTATTTATTATATTACACAGTGTCTCAATTGGGACGAAATTGGCATGGCTTAGCATGTGCTTTTCTGCGTGAGGGTCTCTCCAGGGCTACTGTCCTCAGAGGGATGGACTGAGGGCCGAGACACAGCTCAGTCAGTAGAGTATTTGCCTAGGATTTTACACAAAATCCCAGGTTGCGTCCCCAGCACTGCCTACAATCCCTGCACTTAAGAGGTAGAGGCAGGAGGATCACGAGTTCAAGGTCATCCTAAGATGCGCAGTCAGTTTGAGGCCTGTTTGGGATGCAAAAAACCCTGCCTAAAAATAGATATGGGCCTAAATAGATTGCTCAGTGGTTGAGATCACCGACTGCTCTACCAGAGGACCCAGGTTCAGTTTCCAGCACCCACATGGCAGCTCACAACTGTCTTTGACTCCAGTTCCAGAGGATCTAATATTCTCACACAGACATACATGCAGGCAAAGCACCAATGCATATAAAATTCAAAATCAATGATAGACATGTAGATGGATGGATGGATGGACGGACGGACGGACGGACAGACAGACAGACAGATAAAAGAAGGCTAAAACAGAATTGAAGGACACATTCTTACTTATTCTCTTCGGTGGCACCTAAGTGTTGGTTATTATAGAAGATTTGGTCTTTTCCAGGGTCCTAGCACAGCACCTGACCTCTTCAGAGTGGGACAAGGCAAGAGAGAGCAGGACTGAAGCCACAGTATCTCTTACGGCCTGGAGCTGTCAGTCACAGGCCACCATTGCACTCAGGGAAGCTGGAGCTCTCTGATCAGCTTGACTGGCTGTCCACTGAACTCTAGGAATCCACCTATCTCTGATTACAGGTCCATACCACCATACCCAGCTTGTTCTGTGGATGCTGAGGATCCAAATTCAGATGCATGTGCTTACAGAGCAAGGAACTTAGTTAGCAACTGAGCCCTCTCCGTGGCCCACGATTTCTACAGTAGCCTATTGCTTATGTGATGTGAGAACAAACCACATAGGATTCAGATAACAACAGGTGCAATTATTGGAGGCCCTTTTGCAGATTGATTATTCGCAAGATAGAGATATTTCCATGCATACATGGCTGAGGAGAGATTTGTGTAGTGGCTGGGCCATTGCTCATTGGTCTTCAAGCAAACTGGAAGTCAGAATCTCCTCAGCTATTGTGGAAAATACTGGTCTTCCTGTCCCTTTCTGGAGTAGATTAGATCGGGGATGATGCCCGGGTTTGGCAGCTTCTAGATTAGATCTCTAATGTCAAGCTCAACTTTAGCAGTTCCCAACCTTCTATGATTGTCGATGTTAGGAGAAAAGTTGTTGAAGGTGTAGATTCTGGGGCTACTTCCAGCCTAGAAAATCAGGCCTAATTAAAATGGTTTTTTTTTTTTAGGTTTTTTTGATCATATATACTCATCATGATTGGAAGTTCTACAAGGTCTAAAATAATATGTAATAAAAGGTATCTCTCCAATTTTGTCTTCCTGACACTTCAATTTACCTCCTGGGGTGATCAGATTTATCATTCTTCATATATTCATCCAGAATATATAAGACAGACATGGATATAGAGACTACAGCTGAATGGTAAAATGCTCACTTAGCATGCACAAGGCCCTGTGGGGTCTGTGTGGAGGAAGGTTACACAGTAAGTTTCATTCTTCACGTTCGCCTGTCTTTATACTAGCTTCTTATGTCTCTAGGAGATACAATTCCATTGTTTTGCAAATGACTCAGGTGATGCTTTTTAACAATGGATTTTTATTGATGTGTATTAATTGTATGGAGTATGGGATTTCATAGTGACATTTTATGCATGCATATAGGTATGCCGTGTGAATGTGTGTGTTGTTGCTGTTTAGTGTTTTTAGGACAGGATTTCATGTTGTGTTGACTGAGGTTTCTGTCCCGCTCGGTCCTGCAGCTGTTTAGTCCCCAATAAACACACAGAGGTCTACATTAATCATAAACGAATTGGCCTATTATCTCAGGCTTCTTATTAACTCTTATAACTTATATTAGCCCATTATTCTTGTCTATGTTAGTCATGTCCTGCTATCTTGCTTCCTCTGCAGCTAGGTCACAACTGCAGACTGAAACTTCCCTCTTCCCAGAATTCTCCTTGCTCCGCCTCTACTTCCTGCCTGGTCATCCTGCCTACACTTCCTGCTTGGCTACTGGCCAATAAGCATTTTATTAAAAATAATACGAGTGACAGGATAAAAGACCATTGTCCCACAGCAATGTTGTCCAGACTGGTTTCAGGCTTGCTATGTAACCAAGGATGATCTTGAACTTCTAATCCACCCGTCTTCTACCCAATTGCTGAGATTACAGAAGTGGACCACCACATCTGTATGTGGTGCTCAGGAACAAATCCAAAGCTTCATGTATTCTGGGAAAGCACTGTACCAACTGAACTACATCCCTAGCCCTCAGATGGTGATGATAATGATTCTTCTTCCTCTTCTTCTCCTCCTCCTCTCTTCCCCTCTCCCTGGGTGTCTCTATGTAATCCTGTCTGGCCTGGGAATCACTGTGTAGACAAGACTGGCCTTGAACTTATAGAGATCTGCCTTTCACTGCTTTTAAGTTCTGGGAGTAAAGGCATGTGCCACCACACCTGATAATTTTTATAATTCATAATAAAAATTGAATTATTGGACCCCTTCACTGTTGCATGAAATGCATCAGTCAGGTCATACGCCTGACACCTTATATTCAGTCATTGTCTACAAAAGAGTTTACAGTCACTGGAAGGAGCAGCCACTTTCAGCCTAAGTGTTGTAACACTGACAAGCACAGGGCACCACAACCACTCCGTAGCATTGAAGGAAACTTCTGGAAAGAAGAGATTTAATACTGAGGTACAGCAAAACAAAACAAAGGAAAACTAAGGATGTAGAACTGAATGGGGAAATGGAGAGAGAAGTGTACCTGGATGGGAGAAGAATATAAATCTGGCACCCCAAGTTTAGATCCAGCTTGGTGCTCTCCAAAGCACAGCATCCCCAAAGTAGAGCATCTTGAAGTGTGAGCGCCTAAGAGCCTCAGGGAGAAGCAGCAGAAGCAAATGCACTGGCTGCAGATTAAGAATGGCTAGAGATGAAGCTTCAAGCTAGAGCATTTGGCAACTAAGAGGAGCCGTGGGCTCCATCCCCAGCGCTGTACTCTTCCCCATGCATCCTCAACGTAGAAAACAAAATACTGCATACAAAGGCTCTCTGATGACAATGAGGGTAGTCACCAATCTGATTACAGAAGATGGCTAATTTAGGCACCCCTTCACCATTGCTAGGATTCTTAGCTGGGGTCATCCCTGTGGATTCCTGGGAGTTTGCCTGGCATCAAGTTTCTCCCTAACCCTGAAAGGCCCGCCCCCATCAAGATATCTCTTTCAATATTCTCCCCCTCTGTCCTGCGTCCAATCCACCTACCCAGATTCCATCCCCACTCCTACGGCCCAATTGGGCCGAGCTTTGGGAGTCCTGTTAAAGACAGGGAGGAGGTATTGTGGGGAGGGGTTTCAAGGTCATGAAGGGGAAGCTCTCCCCACAGAGACAGCTGACCTGAGCTGGTGGGAGCACACAGACTCTGGATCACAGTTAGGAAACCTGTATGTGTGTGATGGTTGTGTAGCTTGGTCTGTTTATGGCACTTCTGGCAGTGGGGTCAGGTCCTTTCCCTGGCACTTGAGCTGGCTTTGAGGAAACTATCCCCCATGTTGGGTGGCCTAGCCCAGCCTTGATGCAGGGGAAGAGCTTGGTTCTGCCTCAACTTGATGTGCCACTGGAGGCTTTTTGGAATAGAGGATGAGTGGATGGGGAGAAGGAGGAGGGGAGGCGGGTGCAGGGGAGAGGAAAGGAGGGAGGGGAAAACATGGCAATAAAAAATTAATTAATAAAATAATGAAAAAAAAAAAACCTGGAAGAGCAAATGACTCCAAAAATGAGATGCTATCCTTGGCATGCTATACTTGCTAGGAGGAAAATGGATGTTGGTATTAAAAAAAAAAATGGATCAGAAAGCCTATATGTGGAAGGAGAGAGAATTTTAAGACATACTCAAAACTGGACTGGCCTGATTAGGTGTTTGGGAATGTAGGTTAGTGGTAGAGCGTCTGCCTAGCGTACTCCAGGCCTGAGTTCCATATCTGGCCCTGCTTCCAAGGACAAGCAATTGGAAACATTAGAAGTTCTCGGAAGGTAGATTCCAACAGACTGAAAGGAGATTTATCCAGATACTCCCAGGTTTCTAGCATGGCTCGTTTATCCCTTGCTGACTGCAGTAGGGAATGTGGGTGGAAGACACAGGTTATGTGGCTGGGTGAAAGACCAGTCTGACATTTTTGAATTGGGAAACAGCCGGCATTTACGGCAAAGAAAGTGCAGCTTTCTGCTGAGAAATAGGAGCCAGGTGGTAGCTGGCAAGGGCAAGACAAGTTTCTCCTCCCTTTTCCTTCCTTTTCTTCCTCCCCTCTGGCTCTTCTTTGAGACAAGGTCTCACTGTGTAGTCTTGACTGGAGTCACGCTCCCTATGTCGGCTGGCCTGGATCTCACAGAGACCCACCAGGCTCTACTTCCTAAATGCCAGAACCAAGGGCATGCACCCACCACCCTGGCCTCTCCTACTTTCGTCTTAAACCTCACTCCTTTGGCCCCCTTTGCCTTGCCCACACATGCTTTTTTTCCCCCTACCCAGGCCCCCAGATCCTCCTGTCCTCTCTTTAAGTAAGTCACTCATCAGTACTCTTCAAGCTTCCTCCACCTGTTGGAGTGGCAGGGCTGGGACCTAAAGAAACCTGTTCAGAGCTACTGTGCTTAAAGGAGAAGCCTCCCCAAATGGTTATAAAAAGTCTCATGCTCACAGCAGAAATGAACAAAACTGGCTCTAATGTGCTTCCCCTCTTTTCGTTTGCTCCAGATAATGGTCACAGCTCTTGCGCATCTCACTGGCTGCCCACAGCACCGTGGCTATGTTTGCACCTAGGTAAGCTGTCGTTTTCTACACTTTTTGGAATTTTGCTTGGAATGGATAGACGTTAAGCACATTTGCCATTTGAAAGTACCTTTGTTTTGTGCCTTGAGCAACTAGCCAGAGGCATCTTAAATCAGGATGGCAAGGAAGAGAGTATATATGCAGAGAAATCTGAAGATTTGATCCATTCTTAGTTCTTGTCAACAGACTCATTGTATGCCGTGTGGATGGCTTGGGTCTAGGACAGATTTCTCTCTGAACTTGACAGCATGGGGATACGAGCGGAATTTGGCCTTTCGTTTTTCCTGGCAGCCGGTGCCCGTCCATTTATATGGTATGTTCACAGGAGAGCTGACAAGTGTTGAGAGGTTTTATTTGATATGCAGTTTTTTTTTCCTTTTAAGATGAAAAAAAAATTCGTAAAAATAGGTACTTGTTAGCTAGTTTTCCTAGTTAGTCTTGTGATCGTAACCAAATGCTTCACTAAAGAGTTTCACCCAAGTACATTAGTGGGCTGAATGATTGGGCTGTGTTTAATATTCATGAAAAAGCTGTACACAGGGAGTTTTTAATGATACAAATGCAAGGCCACATTATTTTGCCTGTATGACTTGCAAAAGCCGTTCCTTCTAAAATAGGGCTATTTATGCTAATTTGCGATAGTTTCTGAATTGCAGGCGGCTCTGTGAATTTACTTTTCTTGGCAGATCTAGAATATCCTGCCATAACACATACTGAAAAACTGTTTGATGGGTTATGAAAATCTGGATGCACTAAAGGTATGTCTTGTGCAAACCATGAAATGGTGGTTACATTAGGAAAAAAAAAATCTGTTATCTGATCGGGTTAAGGAAGCAGTCATTACTATAACCCGAGGAAAACCCAGTGGTTTTGGAATGGGAGATAGGTCCTCCAATAGGTACAGAGACTCAATACGAAGCTTGGTGACTCTGCATCTGATGTGGTTTGTGGTACCCAGTTCTCACTTGGTTTTACTGAAGATGCTGAACTGTGCTGCACATGGAACTGACCTGGGAGGTGGGTAACATGCTCTGTTTTCCGGTAGACATTCATTGTTTGTTGTTTTGAGACAAGGTCTCATGTAGCTTTGGCTGGCCTCAAACTCACTATGTAGCCCAGGACGAACTTGAACTCCTCATCTTCCTGACTCTACCTCCCATGTCCTGGGATACAGGTGTTCGTAATCATAACTAGCTTAATTGACCTTTCTTTTCGAAGAATATAAAATATACTTTACTTTCTTAATTATGGATGGCACAAAGAAAATGGAAAATGGCCTCTGTCTCCAGTGCTGGGATCAAAGGTCTTTAATATCATAGGTGCACTAGGAAGAAACCCTGTCTCAAAAAACCAAAAAAAAAAAACAAAAAACAAAAAAAAACAAACTAAGTGCATCTAAAGAAATAAAATAGGGGAAACAGGTCCAAACTCAGTAGACCTCTCTGTCCTATCAACTTTTTTGTAATTCAAATAAAATTTTTCTCCATATAACATTTTTAAAAGATTGTTTTATTTAGAATTGTGGTAAATCAAGATAGGTATCTTGGGGAGAAGGACCTTGGATTGTAATTTAAACTATAAAAGATTCAAATTTTAGCTTATTTTAAATGAATCAAATATTTCAAAATTGGTAGACAGGTTCCCTTGGCACATTAGTAAAAAGATATAAAGGCTAAAAAAGAGAAATAAATAAAAGAGAAATTAGCAATGTGGATAACCTTTTATAAATAAACTTGTAAGTGTAATAAAGATATAAAAATGAGTTTTTAAGCATGAGCAGTAGTTGTCAGAATTACAGGTGAGGAATAGATTTTGAGAATATTGTTATTATCTTCCATTGAGCTACTTGAGCTGTTTTTCTCAAATGATAATTATTGGGTCTGTAACTATTTCACCAATGATGTGTGATTTCTTCATTATGATAGATAACCTTGGTGGATAGTATGATTCCACACTGTATTAGCTTGTCTTATCAACTCCTTGGAGACAATTTCAGAGCCGGGAGTAGTGATTCTAGCAGATGGAAAGATCAGGAAGAAACAGAGGTAGTTTATTTGTTGAACGAATAGACACTGAGGATGTCTACGCAAGGCCCTGTATTACTCTTTCTCCAGACATGGGGAACCCTGCAGTGAAGAAGAGAAAGGCTCTTTGAAGTAGTGCAAGAAGGCAAACATGAAGATGACTGGATGAGAAATTACTAATGACTAATGAAAGACACTTGCAGCCTGGGTTGGACATATATGATGATGTATGGTTTTCAAAAAGATTTCTTTTTGAGACAGGGTCTCAAGTACTCCAGACTGATCTCAGAGTTGCTATGTAGCTCAACATAAACTCAAACTTCTAATCTCTTTCCTTGAGCTTCCTCCACAATGCTGGGATTGCAGGTGTTCAGCATCAATCCTAGATTTATTGAAATGATGATGATGATGATTGAGACAGGGTCTTAGCATAGAATCCTAGATGTCCTGGAACTCCCTATGTAGACCAGGCTAGCCTCTAACTCATAGAGATCTGCCTGCCTCTGCTTCCAGTGCCGAGATCAAAGGCACGTGCCACCACACCCAGCTAAGAAAATGTTTTCTTAACTCAAAGATAGAAGTGGTATTTTTATATTCCACTTCCGAAGGAAGAAAATAGATAAGAAATGCAGATGGTCAATTACATGTTCAGCCAACTTCATCCACATTACAAAGAACGTACACTTGAATATGAAATCTGTAACAGGCTTACATACTGAGAAGAGCATCGGATTGATTAGGATTTCTAGAGATAAGGTTGGATACTTGAACAAGAAATGTTCTCACCTACTTCTTTTTTATTTTGAGTTTATTTTTTGATAGACTATTTTTAATCTTTAAAAACTTCATATATGTAAATGATATATCTCTATCAGATCCAGCCCCAATGCTTCTCAGTCACCCCCAATTCCTCTTCTCCCCTTTATGTCCTTTCAATTTTTTTTAATCCACTGATTAAAAAAAGCACTGGCTTTTGGAATGTTGACTGATCTCGTGGGTTGGTCTTGTTCAGTGGTAGCTGCAGTGAGCTTGTGAGTGACCATGTTATATCTGAAGACAGCAGCACCTCACAATCCTCCTTCCCACCCTCCAATTTTCTATTCTTTTTGCCTTTCTTCTGCAGTGTTCCCTGAGCCTTGGGTGGGGAAATGTGTTGATACAGATGTCCCATTTAGGGCTGATTTTCATTACTCTGATCAGCTATGTGTCTTTCCATTAACTGCTGCCCACCACAGAGAGATGTTTCTCTGGATAAGATTGAGTAGCACTAATCTACAATATAAACACACGTATTTAGAAAGCAATTTGAAGACATTTCCACTTAGCAAAATGACAGTTGTAGGTTCCCCTCTACCTATAACATCCCTAACCATGGGCCTTTAACCAGGTTTACAATATCAGGCATGAATTCCCTACTATGGTGTAGACCTTATGTCTAATCCAAATGCAGTTGCTTGTACCCATAACTGTTGGGCCACCATTGTGCCAGTGGGCACATCCTGCCTGGCGGGATGGTATTGTAGCATGCACAGTTCAGTACTGGGTAATACCTTTGATGAGTTTTCCTCTCCAGTGGACTGTGTGGCTCCTTCCCACACCGTGGAAGCCAGTCAGCAGAGAGGAGTTTTCAGGTCCACCCAGCTTGATTTCTTTATGTCCTGCAACAGAAGTATATGATATTTTTTTAGCAATCGGATCTGGCCATCTAGTTCTGGTGAGCATCCAAGAGCAATGGCAACAGCCTATATGGTTTGGGGGGCCTCAGGAGCCTCCCTAACCAATAATTCAGATAGTTCTTACACATTTCTAAGCAAAACAGAGTAATTATATTTGAAGCTTTAATATGGCAGAGATGTCGGAAGAACACCTACATTGACTAAGGAAAGTCAAGTTCATGTTTATAACTTTTGCAACGTTGTCTTTCAATAATGAATTTAAACCAGACTTAATTTAAAATTGTTATTGCAACTTGTAGTTTGAGAAAGTCAAAAGAAGTTTGTAATTGGGAGTAAAGTAATTGTAATCATGTAGGTCCAGGTTAGGTAAAAGTGTTACTTTTGATTTCATTGGAAACATTGTTTTTACTGCATCTTATTGATAATTCTTTATCACTATATCCTTCCATTTTCTCTCTCTTTGCCACAGCCAACTAGTATTGCATTATAAAAAAGATCTAACTGGTCTCCAAGGTTGGATATTTGTGTTGTTCCTGGCAATCATCTCAGTGATTAATAACTTTGTGATGATCGTTTTACAGGTCTCTCCACAGGGTTATACCATCCAACTAACGGTCTAATCACACTGAAATTACCAACATGAAGGCTTCTATAATTTAAGCTCTTTTTTCATTTTTGTGTGTGCACTAGGCCCATGAATATATGCATGTTTGCATGTGTGTGGGTGCATGTGGCGTCTGGAGGCTGAAGTCAGGAATCATCTACTGTTCTTTCATCTTATACATGAGGCAGCATCCCTGAACCAAGCCAGAGCCTTCAGATAGCTTAGTCTTGCTAGCCTTGTTGTTTTGGAGATCCCCCTGTTTCAGCCTCTGGAATCTGGAATTACAGGTGGGTTGCCATGCCAGCATTTGCTTGAGTTATGGGGACCTGAATTCTGGTCCTCGTGCCTGTGCAGCAAGCATCTTAAACAACGAGCTAGCTCTCCAGACTTGGTTGATGTGATTTGTATTTCCAGCAGGAATACAGAAAAATAATTATTTTCAACTTGGTGTTAGCCAAACTTTCAGATTTTTTTTTTTTTTTGGCAAATTGTTGGGAGAAACCAGATTCTCATTTCTTCATTGTTTTTCTCATGTGATTCTGCACCCTGTTAGTCTTTTTCTCTTCAATTTAAAAAGGGCTTCTTTTATATTAGGGAGGTACGTTTTTGCCTACTAATTACAAGTTGGAAAAAAAAACGTGTATCACTGCTGGCCTTAACACTTGCTGTGGTAACTTGTGCCAGAGGGGATTTATTCTTACATAGCTGAATTTAACAAAAAATTTTTGTGTGGCTTTTGGACTTGACTCATAGTTAGAAAAAAACTCACTATATTTCATTTTATTATGGCGATATGTTATTTTTCTTCTTGACTACAGCAGAGGTAGCTTTTAACTATTTACCTTAACATTATTTTTAGCTGTTTAGAATTCATACATAAATAGTGTGTGTGTGTGTGTGTGTGTGTGTGTGTGTGTGAGAGAGAGAGAGAGAGAGAGAGAGAGAGAGAGAAAGAGAGAGAGAGAGAGAGAGAGAGAGAGAGAGAGAGAGAACTGGACTCCAGTTATCA